GGGGGGGGGGGGGGGGGGGGGGGGGGTTACCCTGTTTCCTTCCTTCTAGGGATGCCTTGACTGGATCATCGGTTAATTTGGAGAGTCAGGGGAGGGGTAGAGGTGTGGCCTCAAGATTTACCTCAGTCTCCAGGCAGATGGGCCGTGACAATACCCAGCTGTGACTGCTCCCACACCATCCTTTGAGACATGCAGTTCAGGTAAGACTAACTGACATTTTTTTTTAATTCCATGAGAATGATGTTAATAGCAATGGCAATAGCACCTTGACTTGACAACCCTCTCTAAGCAGTTTACAGAGTCAGCCTCTTTCCCCCAACAATCTGGATTCTCATTTGACCCACCTCAGAAGGATGGAAGGCTGAGTCAACCTTGAGCCTGGTGAGAACAAAACTGCCAAATTACAGACAGGCGGCAGTCAGCAGAAGTAGCCTGCGGTACTGCACTCTAACCACTGCGCCACCATTTAATATCAGTTAAATAATACAATGATTTCCTGCTACTATAGCAACTGATGATATTAGCCTTTGTACATGATTTACTGTCTTGTGAGTTGAGTACCAGTATTTTTATTTGCTGTGTGTTTTATTTAATCACAATATAGGGCTCTTATCACAATTATATTTCTGTGGGGTTCAGTTGGGCTAAGAGAGTGTGATGGGCTTGAACATGTTCATGTATCCCCCTGCTGTCAGACCTCCGTCATTTAAAAGTATTACCAAGAGTTTGCGTCAACTGGAATTGAAACAATGCCTCTGTCTTTTCATTCCAGGTTCTAAAGAAAATTGCCAAATACATTCAGGAGCAAAACGAGAAGATCTACGCTCCGCAAGGCCTCCTCTTGACTGACCCCATTGAGCGGGGACTAAGAGTTGTATCTTTTTCTCTGGGTTCCTAAACTTTTGCAAGTTTATTGGATTGTCTTTTTTTTTTGTCCATCCCTTTGTGCACTCAAAAAATGACATTTTGGCTACTTAAAAATAACTTCAAGGTGATACCTTGCTCAATAGTAGTAACTGTGAGAGGGATCTTGGGGTTCTAGTGGCCAACCATTTAAATAGGAGCCAGCAGTGGGCCAAAAAAAAGCCAACACAGTTCTAGGCTGCATAAACAGAGGGATAGAATCAAGATCATGTGAAGTATTAATAACACTTTATAATGCCTTGGTAAGGCCACACTTGGAATACTGCATCCAGTTTTTGTTGCCACGATGTAGAAATGATGTGGAGACTCTAGAAAGAGGGCAGAGAAGAGCAACAAAGAGGATTAGGAGACTGGAGGCTAAAACATGTGAAAAATGTTTGCAGGAACTGGGTATGTCTAGTTTAATGAAAAGAAGGACTAGGGGAGACATGATAGCAGTGTTACAGTATCTCAGGGGTTGCCCCAAAGAAGTAAGAGTCAAACTGTTCTACCCACTGAGGGTAGAAC